CAGTTCAGACTGATAAATATGTCATTTAAATACAGCTCTTGTTCATAAAATATTCCCTTAATTTCTCTCAGGTTTATCGATCTTTAATCAAAATTATTTAGGCACTTTCCATCCAGTTCATAGAATTCAGAAAACAAGTTTACAACAGAAAGCCGTTCACCATTCAACTCCAGTTTAGTCTAATGTGGTAACTCAGAATTTGTGTTCTTGTTGTAGAGGTTCACTCAACAGCATAATATAATACACCTGATTTTCCACATTAAATTCAATTGGCAGAAAATTCCAGTATTCTTGATCCTCAATATTATTGGATAAATCTTTGTGCTGGAAATCCAAATTGATGAAATTGACAACTCAGTCAGGGAGAAACTATAACATTAACTAGAACTGAAGTGAAGGGAATGCACACTGCTCCCAATGTGCCTTAACCCTACTCTGCTGAGAATAGAATGAAAGCACATTTTATTGGAATGGTTGAGGGAGTTTTACTCTGCTTTTGTATTCAGTTTTTCCATTTTTAAACCATCAATACAGGAATGTGTGTGGCATCACTGGCTGTGCAATTATTATTGCTCATCCCTTATAATGCTCATTCCTAGTTGCCCTTGAGAAGGTGGTGCTTAGCTGCCTTGAACCACATGAACTGCACCACAACCCCAACATTATATTGGAGGGAAGGCTTTTGATGAAGTAGCTGAAGATGGTTGAGCCTGGGACATTTTCCTGAGAAACCACTGCAAAGATGTCCTGTGGCAGAGATTTTTGCCCTCCAACAAACACAGCCACTTGCTTTATAACTCGGAGATATGCAGTTTTGCACAACCCTAATCAGCAGAGACTTTTCTCATGATTCCCATTGATTCTAATTTTGCTGGTGTTCCTTGATGCCACAATCAGACAGCTGCTTCCATGATGTCAAATGCAGTCACCCTCATTTTTCCTGGAGTTTATTTCTTTTGTCCATGTTTGGACCAAGGCATTAATGAAGCCAGGAGCTAACTGGGTCTGGAAGTAGTAAACTGAACACCAGTAAGCAAGTTATTGTTGAGTAACTGCTACATGATAGCACCATCAATGACAACATCATAATGTTGATGATTGAGAATAAACTGACAGGCAGTAACTGACTGGTTGAATTTGTCCTGCTTTTTTAAACGGGACATACCTTGGCAAATATCCATACCGTTGGGTATCAGTTTTATAAGAATCCACTGATTGTTCCTCATGCTGTTAGCATAAAGCTGTGGATGTAGTTAAAGAAAAAAAAACATAAACTGAAAATAAACTGGATGCTTATGGCAGCAAACATTACTAAAATGTTTATGCAGCGAAGTCCTGGTCACACAAGATACCTGGTGTGTGTCTTCACTGCATATTTCTGAGTTATGAAACACAATATAGGTCATATTGCAACTAATCTGGGCATGCTTTGTTCCCAAAGGAGGACAAACCATTCAATAGTCGGAAACAAATTGACATGAAAAGTAATAACAATTTAGTGTTTACCAATCAGATCCGGAGTCCTGTACTGGAATCATTCATTAGGTTTAACAAAAATCTGTCATTAGCATGCATGGAATCACATTTAAAAAACCCGTCCTTCAGACACAATGGTAAGGAACAGAAAGACCTTCACTGCTTCCATTACAATTTTTGTTGGCAACATTCACGAATCAATGATAACAATTGCTTTTCTTTCTACAACCTTTAGGGTGTCCTTATAGCCTGGATATGTGTGTTATGAGAATATGAACTGGTTTGTTTTTACTTCCCACTGTTTTTGAATGACATGGGTAGCAAATTACAACAGCCCTTGCTACTGTTAGTTTATTGTATAGACCATGACACAGGAATATTTTACTTTGTAATGACTCTTCATCCTATCAGTTTGTAAGAAAGAAATGAAAGTAATTTATTCAAAGGCATTTCTTCTAAAAGAAACAACAATTTTATTTTAATTTTGCACTTATAAACATTCCTGCCGTGGTGAAAGTAAGTATGGGACAGGGTTGAGGACAGTTACAATCCATTCCAAACTTGGCAGCATGAAAGGTGGATGATGCTAACTCCCCCATGTGATTGGCATGTCTCTGGTAAGCCATTGGCTCAAGTCCATGGGAAGTGACAGCTGGCTGGTGGGCACGAGTAGAATGTCAAGTGAAAGGAGGCCACAGGAGAGGGCTAAAGAAACAGTTCCCAGCACTTGGGTACATAGTGGGAGACAGTTTCTGGGTTGTATGTGACTGGGGCAGGGGTGGCCTTAACAAGGGGTCCCTCAAACGAAGTGAAAAAATTAAAAATGTATTTCTTTGAGCCTCTTCTGGTTTCTCTTCCCGTGAGCTGAATGACAATAACTTTAACAATTATTGCCTGCACCCAAGTACTTTTTAGCATAATTTCTAAGGTCTATCAAAATACATTTCTCCTTGGAAGTGGAAAAGCATGTTTATGAAGAATTAGATTTTTGTTTGATCTTCTGTTGATTTTTTTATGTGCTTATCTTGGCATTACCATCTTAACTTCATAGTGCCATGGCCCTGACTTGTATCCTTGGTGTTTCTTACAATGCTGAAGGTTAAAGAAAGATTCAGTTGGGGTTTTCTAAAGTATAAGGGGCGTTAACAAGCTGAAGAGGTAAATTAGAGTGGACAAACTGGGGAGAAACTATTTCCACTGTTGGGAGGGTTGGTAAACTGGGGCTCAGATTGTAAAATGGTTGTTCAAAAATGTCAGGCATGAGGAGGTAAGGAGAAGAATTTTTACTCAGTCAGCTGTTGCAGTGCCTGAAAGCAGCTCAACAGTAAGTTTCAGAAGCTAATCTGGTGTACAGCTAAAAGGAAACTAACTGCAGTCTAACAGGAATTGATCCGATATTCCTATGAACAGGGAGCAGAAAAATTAGATAACTCTATCAAAGAAATGGCTTGCCTGTAATGGCCACAAGGTTTCATGCTGTGCTTTCATATTCAGCATTAGCTGAAATAATGATCTTTGAAGATTGTTAATTCTAAGATCATTCTTGCATTGCGAATTGCATTGCCTCTAAATATTCACAGTTTGTAGTTCCAATTTGTTCAGTCATCTTTCAAATAAGTTTACTAATAGAAGTGGTAGATTTTTCCAAAAGATTAGATGTGAATTGGATTGAACAATTATCCATAACTAGGAATCTTTGTGTGTCTTTCTTTCACTGTGGACAATAGCTAAGACTTTTATATTGTCAGGTTTAATGCCGTCATTAGTCAACATGTCACCCACAAATGTCAGCTCAGTGACTCCAAATGCACATTTGTCTTTTTAAAATTTCAGGTTGAATCTTCCAGTAACTTTGAGTTCTTTATGAAGTCTATTGTCATGTTCTTCTTTGGATGAATTCTACGCTATTATATCATCAATCAATGTGTCTACACCATAATTCTGCTCATCTATCATACAGTTTTGTGATATACTTTCAGAGCTGAATCAATGCCAAAGGGAAGCCATTGAAATTTGCATCTTCCATGAAGAGTAATGAACTTTCATAAGTTTGAACTTGCTTATTCAGTTTCAGTTGTCAGAAATTAAATCGGGATCCAATTTCTAAAATACTATTAACCAGCAAAAAAACACATAATTTCTTCTTAAGTTGAAAGATTGAAATAATATCCTTCAATGGGACTGTTTAGATCTTTGAACTCTGAGTTTTCTAATTTAAGTTTAATGTCAAGTATGACACCTTATCTTGTTCAATTATAGCAACACAGTTTTAACATGCTTCTCTGTGTCAGATGACAAAGTATATGTATTAAACAAGAGTTAGAGGCCTATTCTGAAGAAGAGTTGGATTCTGTATGATAAATCTGTTCCTCTCTCCAAAGATGCTGCCAGACCTGAAGAGTTCTTTCAGCATTTTCTTTTATTGGAGGCATGACATGTTATTTCATGAGCGTAGCCAACACGGATAGATTAAGAATGCATCTTGTCATAGCTACAGAGGATAAATTCCATATGATATTTTGCGGATGGAACTAATATAATGTCATGTCATTGTAGAAGGGTCTAGTTATACATGAGATTAGACAATTCGATAAATTTAGATAAAATCCATTAAATCAGAAATTTTCATAGGAGTGAATCCACTCGATCATCGGTCATGCAGACATTTTGGGTGATTTTGTTTTGATTGTGTGTTCTTGCACAAAGAGATCAACCTATTGGAGTTTACATCTCCATGATTTCCCAACCATGAGTGCTTGTGTCAATCGTATTTTAAGGGATTGGACGCATAATTGCTTGCACCATACAGATTCTTCTTTGTAAATAATTACAATTCATATATATGCCCTCCAACGATTAGACCAGCAAGGACTTGATACATGCCTTCTCCTATTGGTTAACCAAGGATTTCATGTGCTCCCATCACTTCTATAAAGGCTGGCAACGTTCAGAAGTATACCTTTGCCAAAGTACCCTTTAAGCCTGATTGACATTCATATCCCTCCCAGATTATCAAAAAACTGAAATTACGGCAAAAATACATAGAAAGTAACCATAAACAACAGGAATCATATAAAAATGGTATACTGCGTACTTACAGCATCTTTCATTTTACTTGCCTATCTAATCAATGGCTTCAATGAAATTAAAATTGAATAGGTTTATAATGGATGAACAATCACTTCTGCCAGATGACCAACCACTTATACTGTGATGACTATGATTCAAAAATTAGAAGCATAGGGCTGATAATGTGCTCAGCACTTCTAGCAGAATAATTTCATCTTACTGAGGCTGACTGACGGCTCACTTCAGGGTTTCAGGCTTATTTAGTGCCCCATGAGTGCTGTACCTGTCAATGCAGCAGCCAGCACATTGAATTCAGGCATAACCGAGAGTGGTGCTCATGTTACAGAGCACTCAGCATGTCCAAATTGCTGTGATGATATGAATTTCCACATGCACCTTGCAGTCTGGAAACATGGACAATGATAGTTAAGGCTGTAATGTTCTTTTCACTACAGGTATTTCTGCTGGAACACGAATTGGCTGTAATATGATGGATGAATAGTGGACGCTGTTTGAATAACACAAACTTTCTACTGTACAGGTATAGCGATTTTCTACAGCAATTTTGCTGTAATGCAATTTCCCTGTAATGCAACTTTCTATGGTGATTTTCTATAGTGCAATTTTCTGTAGCGCGAGGTTACACAAGATCGCAACTATTGTGTTAAAGGAGAAATATATGTACATGGCAACTAGGAATCTTTCTCGCTCTTATCATTTTCTATTGGCACATTGCAAAGACTTGCAGATTGTTAAACCAACCTGTTTGACCATAGTTGATCATGCCTTCCTGACCATGCCTGGGATAGACTCAAACTTAGAGCTTCTGACTGACGGATAGTGAGACACTATGCCAAAAGATGTACAAACCTTACAAAAAACCTTATTATGTGAAATCTTGTGCCAAGTCAGGGAGTATCCTATAATGAAACTGGAAAGAAGCCCCTTAAGACATTTCAGGTTTAAGTCCCAAAGGGCCCTTTCCTTTTGCTTTGACCCCTTTGTTTGCTGGTCCTCTTCGTTAAAGCCTCCATTAGTCAATTTGTCAATGATGTGGTGGTTTAACTGTGGTCCCACTGCTGGTGCCCAGCATTCCACTCAACCAATGAAGACAACCTTACACAATAATGTGAAGTGTACACATTTAAAGTTATCTGTGACATCACATCTTTCACTGCGTGTCGAGTGATACCAAAGTGATAGTGAAATGAGAGATAGTAGGAACTGCAGATGCTGGAGAATCCGACACAACAAGGTGCAGAGCTGGATGAACACAGCAGGCCAAGCAGCATCAGAGGAGCAGAAAGGCTGACGTTTCGGGCCTAGACCCTTCATCAGAAAATTTTCTGATGAAGGGTCT